GAAATGAGAATAAAATCTAGCCGTCGGATCTGATGCATCGTGCGGCTCAGATTGCATCCTGCGCTCAGATTTTGAGATAGTGCATTTTCGAAGGTTTATGGTGCATTTCGACGTGATGCATTTTCGCACCATTTTGGTGCATCTAATTTTGATGAAATATTGACCTTTAGATCTCACAATATAAAGCACCAGATTCATTCTCATTTCTCTCCTAAGATTGCATTCTCACCAGAACCAAAATCTATATATATATATATATACACTTTAAAATGACTCCATTAGCTCTGATCCATTGATAACGAACCAATATAAAATAATCTTTGAGGGGAGTAATTCATTTATAGAAAAGTATTGGCATTCAATTTCGTCCTCAAAGCCACTAGGCATAGTAGTATAGTACAATCTTTAAAGGGAAATCAAAACCTCCAGGTTTCAGCAGAACCATTAAATCTTTTTAATGATCTGCAATAACAAGTAGTTAGTTTGAACCATTAACCTGGCCAAGAATGCGAGCCAAGTGTTTTGAATTGTCTTGGTGACATTTCGGACACAGCAATTTCCCTTGCAGCTCTTCACCGAGGAATGCACAATGATCCTTCAACACTATAGACTTCTTGCTTCAAGTCAAGTGTAAAACATAGTTCTTGAGCATATGTATGTGAGAGAGATAGAGAGAGAGAGAGGGAGGGAGGATATTTATTCAACTCCTGCCGCTTGATGCTTTCCTTCATTACTGCCTCCATCAACTTTGCTCTCCTGGCCACAATACTTTGTTCTTCCTCGACCTGCTTTTGCACATTCTTCATTGTTTGATAAATGCCTTCTTCGCCGTTCACAACCCCACTATCGACCACTAGCTTCGTATATCTTCCCTATGATGTATTTGCCTCTTCTATCATCTTCATCTACATCGGCAAACGCTAGGTAAACCTCCTTATTCTTTTCCAGTTATTCCTGCACCATTTTCGGACAACATTTGTGCCTAGCCGAAAAAAAAATTGCTGTAGTCTTTGATTTTGGATTTCTTCCTCAAGTTTCTAGCTTCGCAAAAAAATGTATTAAGTTACTTAGGGTTTCGATTGTTCCTAGTATTAAATTGGATGAGCACAAAAATAAAACTTGATTTAGAGTAATTTTGTTATTATCGCTGCGAGGCCAAAATCCACAGGGCCAATTTCCCACAGCAGTTCCGACTCCCGACCGTCGATTAGGTCTCTAATCTCCAATCCTAACGTTGTGTTTGGTTTGAGGTAAGGTGAGGTAGAATGAGGTAATTAAAATTCAATCTCTACCTTGTTTGGGAGAAAAAATTAAGGAAGGTAAGAGGAGGTGGAGCGAGGTGTGGTGACCGCAGAACAGTGTAAAATCTGGATCCGCGGAAAAGGCGGGCAACCAAGGTAGAATTTTTTGTTTCGCTGCTCTGCCCTTCTCTTTTTTTTCCTGCGAGTGCTTCCTCTCCCATCGCCGATTGTCCGCTGCTTCCTTGTAAAATTTCTGCCGCTGATTTCTTTCTGCGATTGGCCCCCTCTGCCATAAGGTGAGGTCTCAATTTTTTTTCCTTTTTTTGCTTTTCTTTTTTTTTTTCTGTTTTTGTGTTTTTTTTCTAATTGTTGTATTAACATGCTTTGTTTTTTCTGGTTTTTTTATGTTTTTTTCCGGTTTTGTTTTAATAATTTTTGGGGGGTTTTTTTGCTGTTTTTTTTTCGTTTTATTTTTTTGCCGTTTTTTCTTATGTTTTTCCCTGATTTTTAGCTGTTTTTTTCATTTTTTGATATGTATTTTAATATCATTTTTTATGTTTTTTGCCTTTTCTTTACCTATTTTTTCAATATTTATTGAAATATACTCCCTCCGTCCCCCATAGATCTTCTCAATAGCCCTTTTTCTTTGTCCACAATAGATCTTCTCATTTCACTTTTTAACAATTAAAATACCACAACTACTCCCACTTACTTTATTTATTACATCTCACCCACCTCATTTAATACACTCCACCCATTTTCATTAAGGGTATTATGGTAAACTTTCACCTTTTTTCAACTCTTCTTAAAAACCATCAAAAGTGAAAATGATAACATCTTAGGGGACGGAGGGAGTATTATTTTGTTTTTCAATTTTTTTTAGCTATTTGTTTTTTTCAATATGAATTTTTCCTGGGAGATGGCATTCTGGCGTGGATTTGTAGTCATATGAATACATCCTAAAGAAATAAGAAAAAACAACCATAAGGATATTTTAGTAATTTTATTCTTTCCCTACCTCACGTTACCTATTAAACATCCAAACACAATTTTTTAACTCATTACCTTACTTTACCTAACTTCAATTACCTACCATTACCTACCTAATAAATTTTTACCTACCTCCAACCAAACATACCCTAAGACACGGTATAGTATCAATGTTTCCATTACCCCATTAAAATCATTTTTTAGTTATCCACTGTCATTTTTGGCTCAATTACAAGTTTATTAAGTTACATCGATTAAATTCAGTCAGGTTTTATCTTGATTTAAATCCAAGTCATTTAGTTCTTAAATTTGGTTGGATTTTTAATCTGGTGATTTGTTTGGTTTCTTCTTTAATGCAGTTCAGGTGCCAATTTTCGGCTTACTAGGATTTATTATTTTTTGAAGCAAGTCTGTTGATTTTGTATTCACTTTATTATTTATTGGGACTATGATTATATGTATCCATTATCAACTTTGATGACCCCTTCCCTGTATTTTCGTGAATCTATTCATGCGTAATTTAAAACTTAATTTAAAAGTAGGAAATGCTTAATACGTATATATATCTGTACACGTATTCTAATTTCCAAATGTTTAATCCCTAGAATAAGCCATGTTTTATGAATTGTTTACGTATTTTACACATATCTATGTATAACATCTGCCGTATATTACGAACTAGCTTTTGAGCAGGTGAATTGGCCAAAGTACTTCTCTTGAACTCTTCCTTCATGTTATGCAGAGGTAATCTTGGTAATCTTCCTACACAATCATCTTCCAAGATGTCATTCATGAAGGGAGATCTGCTAAGGAGAACCCAAAAACTCGTCAAGGGATTTGCTAAAGCTGAGCCTGTATGTTTGGCTCAAAGCCATGGAAGAGTAAGTGTAACGTCCTGAAAACCAGTCTAGAATTTTTTTTAACTTTTTACTACAAAATAAAATTTAAAAAAAATTGAAAGATGTATGTTACTATATAAATGGCATTAACTAATAATAACTAAAAAAAGAGAATATCTAAATGGCATTGTTGACAATAGTGAAAACAATAAACCACGGAGTACCGAATATTTGTTTTACATACCTACGGTAACATGTTTTATATATTTGTTGTACTCAAGATATTGACTTGTTACAAGGTTTATTTTTCCTATCTAAGCAATAATGTATACTTTGTCAGTAAAAAAAACCTAATCCAAGACATAAGAAGTTAAATAATTAATTAAAGCTCATTTAACACAGTGAAATGGCCGAAAATGAAATAAGTAGATAAAATGTATACACATGTTACTTTGTAAGAAGAAATCTACGAAATAAAGTATTTTGATTCAACAGGGGACGTGAACCATTAAATGATTTCAAAATGGTTTATGTTTGAAAACATTAAAAAGTGTTTTATTTAAATGACCGTACTAGGGTTAACCAAACATTTAGTGGACGAAGTAAAAGTTTCAACATTTATATCGACGTGCTCTGACCAAGTACTGTCACGTTTTTATCAAGTGGGTCAAACCACTTTCAAGGCCGGACCGTGTCCATGTGGATGAGCCTATAAATAATCATACCACAACGTGCGCACGAGAACCCAACGATGACCCCGTGGGTCTAGGGTTCACTTCTGATTACTGGACCCGAGGTCACGGGGAGGTATCCGAAATAAAACTACGAATCGACTAGTGCAGTGTTCCAGCCTAATCACGGCTTAGTTCCTAATCTGTGGTTAACCTAGCAAGTCAAAAGTTTTCTAAATGTCCCCAAGTAATTATTCAAAGTGAAATTATTTACATCGATGATTTTTAATTATGCGAAAAGTTATTTTTTTTTGAAATAAATTGAATAGCTTAAAAGGCCTAAAATATGTTTACATGTTATATATGTCTACTGGTTATTTGCCACTCAGCTCATGCTGAGCGTGTAGTGTTTAACTGCACGCAGGTACTAGCAAGGAAAACAACTGCTGAGGAGGGAAGCATGGACGTAGGGGCTGTGCCGAAGGAGTTTTTTTTAGTATTTAATAATGAATAAAACATCGAACTTAATTTTACTTTGTTTTTGGGCTTGAACCCAAGGTTGTATTAACTGTGGATGTTTTACTTTAAGTTTACGCAGTAAACGTTTTTTTTAATTCTCTTTAGTTATCAAAAAGAGTATATATTTTGGGGGAAAAAATATTTTACAAAGTAACCCGGTTTTACTAGCACTCTGGTCTGGATGACTCGGGTCATCCAGGGTGGGGTGTTACAGTAAGTGTTTCTTATTCATTCAATCAAATTCTCTCTTATTTTTAATTCAAAATTGTAAAAAGTATTCCTTCATGGATGCCATTGCATCAACTAAAATGTTGGATGACATGAATTTTTTGTAAATAAATTTAGGTAAAAATTCATGCAGATTATGTTATTTCCTTTGTGGTTATGATCTAAGTCATCTAACCTTGCAATGCACCACCCGCCACATTTCCTCGTGCAGAGAATAAAATCAAACCCATTACTCTCCCCGAGGATGTTTATGTAAAGAAGTTCTTTAAGAAAAACCCTTACTCTTTCCCCGAGGATCCAATCAAGTAAGTTGTTAACCCCTATACTGCTTGCATCCCATCATGAAGTTTTAACAGAGTTCGTATAATGTATAAACTCTATATTAGCTAGAATTTAGCAGTTCTACATTGAATTCTATGATGTGCTTTATTGTTTCACCTGTTAACTGTTAAGATCGAATCGAATTGAACACACACAATGAAGCACAGGAAGAAAACCGAGAGAAAAAGTAAAGCTAGACAGAGAAAGACAAAATGCGTGAATAACATAGTTACACCCCCTTAGTAAACTTCCACGACGGTGGGGTATATATATTAATGAATTGAACGCATATTGCATTTCTTAATTAAGTGTCTTGCAGGAAGTCTTCAAATACAGCTGACATAGAGCAGACCATTGAGACAAAAAATGGCTGGACCCCTTATCTCGGTTTGCAAAGCCTGAAGATATTCAAACAAAACCAATCTATGAAGTGGCACGTACAGAAAATGAGGTCAATGCCACAGCAGCCTGCATCTTATATAAGTTTCTTTTATGAAAATAAAATGTCCAAACATACCAAGGAAGTTAAAGCGTAACCCCATGATTTCCCCAAGAGACAAAGGATGTCAATCCGGATTAATACCCGCGTAAACAAGAAATTCTGGTGTACAACTTATTTTCATTGTACACTATGGAAATTTGGCAACTTTATTTGAGTGTATATAAGTTGCCATGACAGTATTTGGTGAAACTACTACCTTGCCATGACAGTGCTTGTCCCATGCCCAAAAAACAGTGCTTGTCCCATGCATTGGAAGACTTAGTTCAGTGCTTGTGCCATGCTTTTTGTTCAGTATTCCTTCCTAGCCTCTTCTTAACAAGTTAGTTCACTACTACTAACACCCACCTGCAAAGAAGGAACTAGGTTCCAAATTTTGTCACTTTTCCTTTAAAACACTTTGTAAATTCTAATATATAACATGTAATGTAAACATCACTCCTTTTGTATAATATTAATATACTTCTACTTACTCAAGACGTATATATCTGGGCAAACACACACGAAGTGTGTCCCATGCTAGTGTGTGTGTATGTATATATATATATATATATATATATATATATATATATATATATATATATTATAAAGCAGGAACCCCTGCCGAGTTTATTAGGAATAAAAAAGCAGTACAAAAGGAGGGGATGGCCCTAATCCCACAAGCTGGCCAAAAATAAACCCGAATTAAAAATCTAATCAAAAATGCAGATTAAAAACATTTGCAGGACTCCAAATTCAACATGCAACAAAAAGCAAAAACGAACTTTAAACCAGATTTCTGCGAGGAAGCCTAATTATTTCTTCTTCTTTTTTCCACTTGCCAGAGGATTTGAGCTATTGCCATACTTATCGGTGGTGTTATCCCCATATTTCTTCTTACCTTTCTTGTTCCCTTTGCCTTTTTTTCCTTTTTGAAAAGTCTCTTCTTCCACATAGTCATGCGCCTCAATTTCATTCTCAATCTGCTCCTCACAAACCTCAGCTTTCTCTTCCCCTATACTGTCCAATTCATCCCCTCCCGTCATCAACAAAGGCATGTCAATGAGACTGATAGGTTTGGAGCATTCATATGTTAAATTCAAGTCAAAAAAGCTTAATGGTTGATGGCCAGTAGACTTATTAAGCATAGCCTCCTTATGCATTGACAAAGCTTTCAATTCCTTAAGAGATTTACCATTTTGAACCTGAAGACCTCCCCTGTTTGCCTTAATTGATTCTGTTTCAATTTGCATTGCCTTCAAGTCCTTAAGAGATGGTCCTTGTTGCTTGCTCTGGGGGATAGAATGTTGTTGGAATTCTAAGGCAACCGGCTGGAAAGGAATTGCATGAACATTGAGGACTGCTGATGGGTGGGTTTGTTGAGGTATTCCCTTAGAGTAAGTGACCTTCTTTGTATAATTTAGGGCAGTTGGCACTGAGTGTTGGTTCTGACCCATATAATCAACTTGAGTAAGGTTGCTAAATTCAGCAGATGAAGTTCTGCACGTCTTGATTATTGAGGGAGTCTCCTGGTTTGGCAAAATGGACTGATCTGTGCAGTTTTCTTTCAATCGTCTCACTCTGGAAGTTTAATTCAATCCCATCTGTGTTTCATTCACTGCCGTCATGGTAGGATTTGAAGAAGCAACGTTGTTGTAACAAAGAACAATAGTAGGCTTCAAATTTTGTTCTTTTGTACTAGAGATGTTGTGACAGCAATTCTGATCTATGTACCCCATTCCTGAAGATGTTCGAATATCTACTTCTAATAGGAGCTTTGAAGGGGATGGAGAAAAGATCTCATCCCCACAGCAAAGGGTATTGGAACATGACCAGAACTGTGATTCAACAACTGGAAGACAACGCTTTCTACCTTTAACCAAAGAAACAGTGTGCCTCAATTTTGCAAGAAAGAGTCTAAAACCAAAATAATTATCACTCTCTGGAACTATCACCGATGTGAATCCATCCTTTCTAATTTCTTGAATTTTAACAAAGAAGCCATCAGAATTGGATTCATATGAGAAAACAAAGTCACGATTACCTGCCTTTCTTGTCCGGTTCCAGAAGGTTACCGGGGATAGAAGTAGCAATTCGAAACAGGAGCAAATCCATCGGATTAAATCTTGGTCGATCCAAAATGTGTAGCTCTTCCTCCTTCCAGCTTCGCAGATCTGAAGTAGTTGCGATTGGGAAGTATCGAAGCAATAAAGCTTTGAGTCTATTCTGAACCTCGTTGTGTGCTGTGAGGAGCAAGACGAAGTATATGGATGCTCTGTTCGTCGATATCCATCAACCGCGATATTCTTCCTAGGGATAGATCGACATTGAACCGTATCGCCATTTTTGTCGCCGGAGCTTTCTCTCTCTACACCCATTTTCCATTTATATATATATATATATATATATATATATA